CCCCGAAAAAAAAAAAAAAATCATCTCTTTTAGTACTTTCAGGACTTTCTTTGTACACTGTACTGGTAATATTAGGAGGGGGTGTGCTCGCGACAAAATGTGGCTTGTTATGTGGCAGTTACATAACCACATTCTATTAACAATGGCACTTGCTACTATCATCAATGTGTTGTAGGTGTCCATGGTTCACACATTTGTATAATCATCGATAACAAAGATATTCATCCTGTAACAGTTCTTGATAAGTTTTGATGTATCACTGGAATTCTAAGGAGTATCATTGGCAGTAATGTATGGCTATAAGTAATGAGAATTGATCTTTCAAACATTAGACTGACGTAGGGTCAATCTGCATTCCTAACCCCTTGTGAAAGGTAGAAGAATGACGACTGTGCAGGAGAGATGTGAAAATGCAGATTAAAACTCATTTTAAAGCAACAACAAGTCCTTGTTATTTTTAAAGTTTTAGTTCAGTGTAAGTTGATGCATGATCTTCCCTCTTTTTTCAGGAAGTACCATTGTCATCTCCAAGGCCAGCTGTTTCTATAAGGTAACCAAATGCTCTTTAAACATGAAAACATCTTTCCCTTTTTGTGCTAAAGACAATAAAAGAGTAAAAATTGTCCTCCCACTCAGTGGTAAATTTCAAATTTTTTCATTGGTTGAAGCAGTACATGTAAGACATGCAACGCAAGGTCATGGGAAGTTACTTAAAAATACATGATACCTTAAGTCACATGTGAAGGATATTTTACAGGCTCATCTATTCTTTAATTGATCTATGACTTGCTCACTAGCAGACATAAAATTTAACTGGAAGACAAAACGATTATATAAATCGACAAAGGGTTACTATTCCATTGATTTAGTAGTTGTAGAGAGTCAGGAAGAGCAGGTTGATTATTGGATGAGATTTCACTTGAAACCTAGTGTACGCAGAATGAGGCCTTAAGTGACTGTTGATTTAACATCAAACTTTCCTTGTGTTTTACAAGGGAATACAAGGCAATCTGGAAGGAGAATCTAGCAATTTATCAGAAGTCACTAAGGGCTTATTTCCAGGCACTCCTTCACCTAAAGAGTCAAATTTATGAACAATTATCTGATAGGGCTTGGTGGCAAAGCCAGTCATAAAAAATATGCAAATTTTGAAAAGAAATTAAAGAAAGGAAAATGACTTGTTTACTTCACTTTTTTTGCTTGGTCCATGGTAACATTAAGAGCACTTGCTAGCTCTGTGTAGCCATTGAGTACTACAGAAGCACAGCTTTTGGTACAGCTGTAAACTCTTTCGTATGGAGTCTTTTCTTATTAATGCTTTTGAATTTGATAGGTCATATTTATTGCCGCCCACACCATCCTCCGGCCCAGGGTCACCTGCCCTTAGCGACCAAGAGAGTAATGGTGAAGAGGAACTAGCAAGTGACAAAGCAGATGCTGTACAAGATGAAAAGGAAGAAATTAAGAAAGGTTGGTGGAAAATGTAGATATTTTGTTATGTAGTCTTTTGCCTTTGTGAGTGATCAAAAGCACGGGTCTCCCAAGCTCTCTATGAGGATTTGGAAAAGCAATTTGCTAAAACTATATCTGAGCAGTTCATCTTAGCTCTCCTCATTGCGAAGTTCGAACCACTTAGGGAACCAATCACAATTTTTTTCCCATTGTGGACCAATTTGCTATATGATAAAAAAACAAAACATTTTTTTCTACTTTTGTCACTTTACTGTCTTTTTCAAGTATCAACTGATAAATAAGTATGACATAATTCTGGGTCATGTGACGATTAAACCTCAAGCAAATTAAGAACTGGGTTGCGCCAAGGCTGTTTGGTTAAGAAGTTGGCTCTAAACACTATAGGTATTAACTAAAGCTAACCCATTCTCAGAGTCCTGCATTATTTTTATGTGATGTGAAGCAGAGTAATTCAATGTTTTTGTCTAAATTCTCTTTTTCTCAGATGGTGTTCGCAAGGAGCCCTTGAGGTGTGATGTTTGTGGATTAAGAGTGTTCAAATCTTACCGTTTTGTCAACCGAACCAGTGCTCCAGTTCACTTGAAGAACTTTGTCACTCCAGACCATGACCGTATCAGAGTTTGCAAGCGGTGCTTCAGCTCTCGAGAGCGTTGCCGGCAAAACTTGGCACTTATACTGCTGCGTTCCAAAACCAGCCAAATGATTCACCTGCGGACACCTCTTGGAGTCACCTATGATCGTGCCACCAAAGCTATGGATTACATTGCACGAGACCTTAGGAAAGGACTCAAAAGGCCTTATGAAGACCTTCTGTGCGATGAAACAATGGCTGATGAAGATGAAATGGAGGATGACAGTGAGAGGTTCTTGTTAAATGGTGATGAAACAAAGAGCAAAGAGGTTCCAATTCCCAAACTTTTTGCAGCAGAAAATGGAAATGCTAAACGAGGTGCAGTGGCAACAGCACCTGTCCCAATTAAGAATATTGGGATTGTTACAGTGGTGAGACCTCACAGTGGAAAGTACAACTCCACGCCGAACTGTTTTACAATCTACGGAGAAGTCAGTGACTTGAATGTTAAGGAGAATGCGAGTGAGAAAGCTGAGAAACAGAAAGAAAATGCCCTTGCAATTAATGTGTCAGAAAATCTTAGTAAACTTGTGGATCGCAATATTTCATTATCTCCAACTGTGAATACAACTGCAACTTCTGAGATAAACACTATAAACAACAAGCTGACATTTTTGGACCACGCATATGCCCTACCACCACCCAAAGGAAAGGCATCATCTTCTCCCAGGACCATGACGAAGTCAGTAAAGCAACCTGTACCTAAGGAAGCGAAAGTACTCAACACTGTAAAACAAGAGCAACAGAAGAAGACAGGTAATGGTTGGTAATGTTAAGACAACAATCTTAGTCCTGTAAATCAATTTAATAGACAGGTACTTTATTACTCCATTTAATGTTGTACCCAGGCTTTTAGCCAGATGGCCATCCAGGTGTCCTGTGGACAGCCATGTATTAAAGAAAATCGTTTTATTTTTCGTACATTGCCAAGGTTATCAATTATTATTGTTCATTTGAGCAGGCCCTATATAGCACATTTTCAGTCTTCCAGATAAGCAAGGGGTCTCAGGTCAAAAACCCGACAAGGTCAGCAACATGACCCGACAAATTAATTGAAAATTTATGATGATTTGGTGGGAGCATTGGAAATTGACCCATTGGAATTCCTCATTGACACCATACCTTGAAAACTTATCTGGAGCCCTGACATTTGGGACAACCACTTTTCAAATCCTGGCTAAAAGCCTGGTTGTACCCATCGTGCTTCACTCCTTTACCCCAATCATGTTTAACCTAGAAGATCTCTCAGGAAATGGAAGTTTACTTCAATAAGTTCAAAAGGCCACGTTGGTGGGTTGTGATTGGCAGATTTCAATCCATTTTGATTGTTTCATGTTTTTTGCAACGTGGAGCTCTGGAAACACAATAGTTGTTACTCCGCACTGAAGAACTAACCAATAGAAATGTTTTGGTTGCATAATTCATGCACAGTTTTTGAGCCCAAAACAAAAGATTGTGCACGGTTGTGAACCTTGCCACATAAATCTTGGCATCTTTGTTCACTCCTTTTATGTTTGATGGGCTTCATATCCATTTCCCTCTATAAACTATAATTTAATCAACCATCTTGTGCATGCCAGTTCATCTTGATGGCATTGGGTGCAGAAAAATAAGAAAAACTTCCAGCTATTTGACAACAAATCTTATTTTTTCATTGCTGCAGCAGCTGGAGATGGACAATCAACACCTCCAGAGAGAACTTGTGGAATTGTCTGCTTCCAGTGTGACAAGCTGGTCACAAAATCATACAGCTGCTACAAGAAAGAAAATGCTCCAGAGAAAATCAAACATCTTTTTACCCCTGGGGTGAAAGTTGTTAAAGTTTGTCGTAGATGTATGCCTTATAAGAAACCCAAAGACAGTGAAGATGCGGCCGGAACAGGAAAGGGTAAAGCAAAAATAATCAAGGGGAAACTTGCAAAGCTTCACAGTGCAAAGCTGATCAAAAATGCAAAGTCAGCTGGAAAAGTAAATGCTGCAAAGACAACTGAAAAAACAAAGGTTGCAAGTCTTGAAAAGAACATTGTTAAGTTGCCAACAAAGGATGAAAAGAAAAGAAAGGACAGCCCCAAGGATGAAAAGTTGAAGCTTCTTCCTGCTTCAAAAAAGTTGTGCTCGTTAGCAGTACAGACAAAGAAAGCTCCTGTTTCAAAAGGAACAGTGACAAAGGAGAGCAAGGCTGTGCCAAAAGGTATTCGTCCTCCAATAAGAGAGGAACTAAAAGTTGAAGTCACAAAATCAATCATCCCCAAAGGTGCAAATATAGTGAGTGGTAAGACATTGACAACGTCGCCAAAGAGTGGTGCACAGATGCAGAAAAATGATGGCAGTGCAGCAGAAAAGGCTAAGAGCAGTGCAATCGAAAAGGAGAATGCCGCAGTAAGCAAGGACAAATCAGTCAAAGTGGATTTTGGAACGCAGTCTATGAAATCCATGATTGGTATAAACAAGGTTAAACCTAAAACCACTGATTTGTCCTCACCAAATGAGACTGTTACCAAAGATGAAAATGTTGCTGAGAAAGAGGTCACTGAGAAGGAGTCCACAGAGAAAGAGGTTGATGTCATGGATGTGTCTGAGAAGCAAGAAACTGAGACAGAAGTTGCACCTGTTGAATCAAAGTTGAGTGAAAAAGTTTCAGGGACAGAAAAAGAAAAAGAGACTGTTGTAACAACTGATTTAGAAACCAGTGCCAAGGAGAAGATTGATGAAGAAATGAATACAAAAACAGGTGATGCAGTTAGTACAGAAAAGGATAAAACAAGCAATGTACCAGAGGAGAACCAATCAGAAACAAAGAAACTTAAGGACAACAAAATGGAATCCAAAAACACAGAAGAACCTGATGTAACAAAACAAGACAAGGCAGAGGCAATAGACTCTAAAAACATTGCAGATAGCATAATCACAAGAGGAAGAAGGTCAACCTCAAGATCCCCTGTGATAGCAAGAGAAACAAAATCCACTGAAGCCTTATCACCAAGGAAGGGAAGAAGTTCAGGTACCCCAGAAACAAAGCGAGAGGATAAACAAATAATACCAACAATTATGACACGTAAAAGACTGGCTTCATTTTCTGACCCAGAGGCAGATAAAAAGGTGGACAACTCTGCAGGTGGTAAAAGGAGGGCTTTGGCTGCTGCTTTGTTGGAGAAGATGTCTAGGAAAGCTGGTGACTCATCATTATCTACTTCAGATGTGGCCTCCAACAAATTGAGGGTGGAGCATCCTTATGCAAAAGATGAGAAAGAACCTGAGAAAGAAGGTGAGAGCAAAATTTTCCATGATTTGTGTACAGTGAAACCCTGCTCTATGGACACCCGCTTAATACGGACACCTGCTTCTAACGGACAGTTTTCTTTGTCCTGACAACTAAAAAGCTCATATATTTTCTCTTAAATTAGCCTGCTTAATATGGACACCCGGATAATGCGGACACTTTATCATGTCCCTTTGGTGTCCATATTAATGGGGTTCCACTGTATTTGTTTTTTGATTAACTTTGATTAACTTTGATTAACTTTGAAAGAATTTTCTCAAACTCATTAATAATTCATCCAGTTTAAACAAAGAAAATTGCGATTGTGACAGTGTTTGGATATCTGATCTTAGTTAGATACATTTTGACAATATCATTTTACTCCTCCATTTCCTCATTAGTTTTAGTTTCGACTGAGAAGGTACATCAAGCACTCAAGACCATGTTTGATCACATTTCCAAACACCCCAAAGTTGTCAAAATTACTCCAATGTGTGTGGTATTTTAAAAACTCTTCTCTGTGTTTGGAAATGTGGTCAAACATGGTCTTTCATTTGATTTATTACCTGAAATGTCAGTGGCTTGCGATGCTTGTGTATCAGTATTTTGGTGCTAGCCCTACGCAGGTTACTTCCTGGCATTCTGACTGTTTGTTTTCAACAATTTGCCGATACCCATTTAACACCTCCTTAGTGGAGGGAGGCATTGCAAAAGTTACATGAAAGTGTCCTGCTGAAGAACATAATAGAAGAACATAATACAGTGATCCCAGCCAGGGCTCAAACCCAGGGCTACCATTCGGTCTGGAAATATCCAGTGCGTTAACAATTAGGCTACCGCACCTCCAATTTTTAAGACAAGATGTGTGAAAATAATTGTGTGAAACACTGAGCTGAAATATTGTTACTTTCTTTTTTACTAGTAAAAGGTCACTGCATGACAAGAAGGAATCAGATGCCAGTGAAGTGTGCAGGATGTAATGAAAAAGTAGTGAAGTCCTACAGGTGCGTCATGCGTGGAGATGCACCCGTTCACATCAAGCCATTGTTTGCTCAACAGTCAGGAGAAATGTTGCGCATTTGCCGAAAATGTGTCAAGAAAAAGGAAACAGGCAATGCAAAGGCTAATATTAAATGAGAGATAATTAAATGGTGTTAAATTATTATTAGTTGTTTACTGAGATGCAAAGTGACATAGCTATGAAGTCCTGAAACTGTGTTCCAAATAGCTTGATACTAAACACAATGTACTGGTAATTTATTTATCCTAAAGTTAAGACTTAAAACACCAAGATTGAGTAATTGAGCACTTTGTGTCTGCTCAATGCATCCAGAAACTGCAACTAATTTGGTTAAATTTGATTCAGTTTGCTCCTCAGTTGTTCTCCATCATAGGATTATTTTGAAGGGTAAAAAATCTTAATGCTATTAATTAACATTAAATGCATCTTGGAAATTAATATAATTTATTTGGAGTACCTTCAACAGGGTCACGGGGAGAGGGAGTGGCCATTACTTGGGAGCCCTACTAAAAGCCTAAAACTTTTGCCAGGGTGACTGAAGCCCCACCATTCGGCTTCTTTAATAATTATAATTACTATCATAATTTTTTGTATTTTATTAGTTTTTCTTGATTTCAAAAATAACATATAATTTATTTTATTAGACGCAACTAAGATTTATAATATTATTTATTACAATATCATTTGCTACAGGGCCTTGAACCCTGAAAATGTTTGCTGCAGGCCCTGCTAAGCCCTGTTCTTGTGGGGTCTAGAACCCTAAAGCACGGCTTTTTGACCCAGGAACCCTGGACCTCTTTGTGATCCTGCTTTAACTCTTTCAGTTCTAGGCTTAAAATGTCAATTCTCCTTACCTTTTTTATATTTGTGTAGTGTTTAGTGCTGAGAAATTGATAGTCATTAAGTCATTGTTCAAAACTTGATAATGCTGTCATGATATGAGGAGAAGTGAGAGTTTGATTGCCTTGGGTTTAAATGCTTGAAGACCTTTAAATGGCAAGTTTCATTGTGGAAAATTCTGTGAAAAATGATAGATTATATTATTCAGTACAAGACTGCACCACAAAATTCTTCGAAGCAACACAAGAGGGTTCCTCTTATGTTGCTTGCTTGTCTTTGGGCCAGCCTTAGTTTTATTTCATTTATGTTAACTTTTTGTGGCAGTTTTTACCTTATCTTTTTTAACTTGAAAATGGTGTCGTGATGACTCTGAAACATTGTTTGCTTTTATCATTAATTTTCTCTTGCTTATGCATTACAGAACCTTTGCTTGATAGAAATAACACTATTGTAAAGGCCAATCATGTAAGACCTGGTTTACAATTGAGTTGAGGTTTGATAGTCCTTTGCATTACCAGGTCACACAGTACAAGATCAGACCTGCTGGGTTGCAGTTACACTGTGGGTAATTTGGGTGTGGACAAAACGTGGGGTAGGCCATGGCCTACCCTGTGGCCTACCCTATGGCCCACCGATGGTCAGATTTTCAAAAACATAAAGAAAACATCAGTAAGAGTCAAATGAGTAAGGTGGCATAAAACTATATCCCCTGGTGGGTTCTTGTATCCCTCTAATAGGGGTAAGACTAACTAACACTAACACTAACACTAACACTAACAGTTACTAATGCCATTCATTACATGTTTACACTAGCACTCCACTATATGTTACAAACTGGCAGCTGGTATGGATTGTGGAGCCCCCATTTTGTAAACTCTCAGCGACCATGTAATATCGGCCCTTCCCCCGAGGGGGGGATCCCATATATAAATGACGGGGGTGCTTGCCATACCTTTTAGGGGTTAAAAACGCAGTTTTGGTACCTCTTATAGTGTTTAGCCTCAAAAGGTCCACATCGGGAGCTTTTTGAAAAATATGACAGGAGATGTCTTATGTAAGAATTGGTACCTCTCAGGGGAAAAAAAAAAAATTCAAACCACACCTGCAATACAGGATCTTGGTCCTCTTAGGGGTTCTTTCCAAAATTTCTGACCAGCACCCCCGTTTTTTTATATGGGAGTCCCCCCGCCCGGGCCCTTCCCTTCCCTCTTAACCTGCCATTATGGTTGATTGCTTGGCTGGGGAAGCTAGACGTCGAAGACAGCGAGAAATAGGATGTTTCAAGGCTGAGTGCTGTGAGGTTTGCATTGTTTCATTCCCTCTGATGTTGAGAATCGTGTTAGTGACCTTTTAGTATACCCCTATTAGAGGGATATGATTTTATGCCAGCTAACTCGTTCGACTCTTACTGATGTTTTGTTAATGTTTTTAAAAATCTTACCACCAGTAGGCCATCGGGTATGCCCACACCCGGGTAATTCAAACCGCAGTTGGCCAAGTTACCAACTGTGTCCAAACCAGAGAGCAATTTAGCTTTACAGGATTAAGTTCCATTGTTTTGGTTGTCCCAGGGATGATGGTTGAACTTGTAACCTAACATGGCTGATTTTGTATTAGGGGACTGTATCAGTCATGCAAAGGCCCAGTCCAGCTTGAGATGATGGTCGGACTAAATCAAATGTTATGTTGGCCTTAGGAGAATTCATTGTTGGCGTCCAAAACAAGTTGTTTTGGGTCTAGTTTTTCCTTAATATTCAATCAATATCAGGCAGAGAGTAAGGGGGAAGATCTTAACGTGAAGGAAACAATTGTTACAAGACAGAGGCATGGCACGTTTGCAAGGGAAAAGACTGCCTGCACAAAAACTTGTTCAAAAATAAACTGTTCTCACTTTGTTCTGGACTTCAGGGAGAAATGAGGATCGCAGACCTCACCTGGACCCAATTGAATCTCATCAAGTACCTTCAACTAGGGAACCCTGATTTTTTGACTTGAGATTATTTGGATATTTACAATTCCTTTTTGGAATAAGAAACACCATCAAAATACAAACAATTTTGTGTATTTATTAGTAAGAATAATATAGTTATTTTGCCTGGCTTGTTTAACTAAAATGCCTCTTACAAGATAAGTTGCATTTCATGCCATGTAGCATGTAAGTTGCCAAAGAGTAGGCACATGTGTTTTGATGCTGTGAATAATGAATGTGCTTGAAGACAGACAAAAAAAGTTAATAGTATTTGTTATATGACTTCTTTCAGAGCATTATGTAAGTCGCCAATTAGCTTATCAAAGTAGTTCGTTATGTGTAACTTCTTATTAAGCAAATTATTAATTAAAGAAATTACATTTTGCAACCACATACTAGTGTCATCCTGTTTTAATAGACTATCTATTCAGATGTCATAAAATAATGCTACAGAACAGCATAGATTTTAAAGTTATGCCCTTAAAATTCTTTAGAAAACCACTGAGATGCAATTTCAACCTTGGACAATACAGTGGAACCCTGGCTTGCAGCCACCTTGTTTTTCCGGCCACTTTCTGGCCTGAACAAAAGCTCAGTCATTCATTCCTTATTTCTTAGAGAACCCCTCTGTTACAGTCATCCTGGTAATTGCC